GGGGGGGGGGGGGGGGGGGGGGGGGAGGGGTTAGAAAGCGAAAAAGAAATTGCTGTGTGTAAATTCTGTAAGCTCGTCCAAGAGTAAACGAAGGCTCAAGACGTAATGCCATAGGAGAGCTTTTATTTTCCATAGAACGTAACCAATTACGGAAGGGAGCTTCTTCACTTGAAATTATAACCTTTCGAAACGATCACGAGACTTTTTTTAATACAGGAAGAGCTTTTTGCGATCATCTTTTTTACCTGCAAAATGAATTTTTGGCTTGCTTTCATAATTCACGTTTTTCAAGCAATTTTAATAGCATCATCGTTATGCGTAACTTAATCTATAAGATAATTTAAACACACCGCTATACGTTAGGTTCGAGCTTCAGTTACTTGTACTTTTTTCTTTTTCATTCCACAACAACCTGGCTTACAGGGACCACATTTTTGACCAGGAATCGACTTCGCTTTCTTTTCTATAATCGAATTTTCCAATTGTTCCACGATAACAAGGCTATCCCTTCAACTTTTATCATACACGTACTCGTATACCTATATCGCCGGGACGTACTGTACAGAAAATTAAATTGAATCGAGCTTCGTTTGCTGTTTCAGCCCCGGGCACTTACGAATTCCTGAAGCGATCGACGTCGCGACGCTTTATTAGGTCCGTCGCTCAGATTAGAATTGTGCCTAAGTTATGAAAAGTCAATTGAACTATGTGTATGAGATTTATACAAATATTTATATCCGGATAGGGGTATTACTGTTATTATATAAATTTCAATGACGTAATTTTTTTTTCTCTTTCAGAATGATTTCCAGCCCGCTGATACTTTTGACAGCTTTGATAGGCCCTTTATCAGCAGAAATATCCTCGGCCAATGATGCGCTGGCGCTTAAGCGCGCGCCAATGGGCTTTCAGGGAATGCGCGGCAAAAAGGATTTGATCGATCAGGATTTTTCAAAGAGAGCACCAATGGGCTTCCAGGTACGAATTTTAAGTAATGTGGAAATTAATGTATTTAATATATGGGGAAGGGGGGTAGCGAGTTTGGGATTTAAGAAATAAAATAATAGTAATGCAATTGCTCCCTTAGGGGATGAGGGGTAAGAAGAATTTTTTGGATAACGAAATCGAGGACTCGTATTTCCAGCGAGAGACTGATAAGCGCGCGCCAATGGGATTCCAAGGAATGCGAGGAAAAAAGGGACTGTACGACGAGGATTATTATAAACGCGCCCCAATGGGATTTCAAGGGATGCGGGGAAAAAAATCTTTGGATGAGGTTTTTTTTTTGCGTCACTTTTCACTTTTGATAACGAATTATCAAGGTGGTAATTTTATTTTGGAAAAATTTTTTTTTCCTGACACAGGTACTTTGGCAGAACGATTATGATAAGAGAGCTCCCATGGGTTTTCAAGGGATGAGGGGCAAAAAAAGTGATGACGAAAGCATAAGCAACTTTTTGGAACTTCCGGAAGAGGATTTTGAGAAAAGGGCGATGACCATGGGCTTTCAGGGAATGCGTGGGAAAAAAAACAATTTCGAGCCGGATTGGGAAAAAAGGGCGCAAATGGGATTTCAAGGGATGCGCGGGAAGAAGAGTCTCCAGGACGAAATCGAAGATTTGGAAAAACGTGCTATAATGGGATTTCAGGTAAGTTGTATACAGATTTCATATTACATAATTAATTCGTTTTTGGAATATATTTTTTTTGGTATTTTTCAATTTTTTATTTTGAAAATAGGGCATGAGGGGTAAGAAGGACGTACGAAATGGACTCGAAGCGTTTCTGGACGATTTTGAAAAACGTACCAGAACTATGGGATTTCAAGGAATGCGTGGTAAAAAGGATTATTACGAGCAGAGCAAGAGAGCGCCAATGGGATTTCAGGGAATGAGAGGCAAAAAGGCCCTGGAGGAAATTTACGAGACAAGTAACGATTTTGAAAAAAGGGCCCCGATGGGTTTTCAAGGTACAGTACAAAATTAGGATTACTTCGAAAAATTTCAATCTTACCTTGATATCAGCTGTTATTGAAAAAAAAATTGTCCACCATACCTACCCTATTTTACACGTGGACAATCAGTCCGATCGATTACAGGAAATTATCAATCGCCGCAACGCAGCCTGATAATTAATAATTGTAAATTTATCGTATCCAACAGGTATGAGAGGTAAAGAAAATGAGATACCGATACAGTTTGACAAACGGTCCCACTATGGATATTACGACATGCGTGGCAAGAAGAATCCACGATGGGAAATTCTTGGTAAATTTGTTGGCGTCAGAGGCAAAAAATCCGATCCGGCATTCCTACAGGATCATCTCTTTGAAAATATCGACAGGATCGGCCAGAAAGGAGACTCGATTACGACAATAGGTAATCGAGAAAAAAATTGCATTACCATCCACAATATTATAATTTATGATATATATGTATTTAAATTTATTATTTATTTGTCATTTGATTCTATTTTTTAGGATAATTCCCACGTTATGTAACGTATGCATAAATTTTATTTCATATACTTATATGTATAGTATATTGAAAATTACCTTAGGTCTCCGCATATTCAAATACGTTTATCAGTTATCGCATTAGCCGTAGACTATGGTGGCAGCACTTGGACGATGAAGCCCAAAAATATTTGTTCTTGGATGGTTACGCAAATATTTGACATATTGGCTAACCTTTAATTGAAAATTATCGATACGGATATCATTATTAACTTTATAGATGTGAAAAATGAATGTCAACATTTTCATGACTATATTGATTTTTGAAAATTTACGCGATTCGCTGCCGATTCGAATTGAAATATATGGGGGTTGATTGATATGTAAATGCACGTGGGGATGTTAAGGTTAATTTATGCTTTAGCTTGAATTATTTTTTCCGCCAATTGACCAAGGAAATAACGACTGATGAATAATTGAATAAAATTTTATTGTCTTGGTATAGATTTTTTATTAGGTTGGAATTTGGTACTTTTTTCTATAAATTTATACTGGTCGCACTGGGTTCTTTTTTTTTACTCGTTTTAGTATTGGCTAACCTGGGTTTGCTGGCATTTCTGAAAATTCTCTAGAATCCGATTCCACTTATCTCACATGCTATACGAAATAGGGTTGATACGGCATGACGATTTCTGATCTTTATATGTATATGGATTCGCGCCATTGTGAAAGCACCCTAAAACCTTAAATGATCCTATCAAACGTTTACCGCTATTCGCAGAGATGCTTTTCAAAATTTCTTGATAATCAAATATTTTATTGGACTATTTATTTTTAGTGTGAAAAACATCCCCTAAAAAATACTTAAAATTGCCTATGGCACAAATATCATACATTTTTGTTCTTTTATCAAATAATCTAATTTTTTGGAATTAACCTACAATTATATATATATGTATATCGTCAAAAAATTTTTATTACACAGCTATGGGAAATCATTAAATACTTTATTTTAAATAATATAAAACCAACCAACATTCAGTCTAATAAAGAACGTAGGAGGGTATTAAAAGAGTTTAGCGAAAGAGACGATCAAATAAACTTTTTTCTCCTATATATATATATATACATATATACGGATATAAATGTCCATGAAAGTGCATTAAGCTTTCACGGTTTTCTGTTTTCTGGACAAGTTTTAGCGTAGAAACTTTTACCCTTAACCTTTGACCTTTCGTCGCTTCCACGTAAACTTCATCTCCTAAATTCAAACTTCTAAGTTCCAACTAGCATTCCATTGTGAGGTCCTTTTTTTGTATGAAAATTGGTAAAATTATCAAAGACTCAAATTTATATTTATCGCCGTTTTATCATTATCGTTTAACACCTTCCTTCCTTATTCCTTTTTTTCGTTATTTTTTTTCCAACTCACCAACCAACTTTTGAACTTTACGAAAATGATGTGTAAGTCAACATTTCTCAAACATGTTTGTCCAAGTAAAGTTTCCAGAAAGCGATAACATAAATTACTTAATAAAAATCAAGTTTTCGAAGAATTTACCAAGCACGTTATCACATTTAAATTCGGTCAGAATCTACTATCGTACTTTGTACCTGCTACAGCCGTTATAAATTTGGCATGTAACACTTGCATGAAAAAGTTAAAAAATTTACTCAAATCTGAAATAATTTATGTAACTCAAAAAACAATTACGTACAATAAAATGGATTAATGGAAATTAACTTTTTTTTTGTTTCAGATATGCAGTAGTGAGAACGGGGTTTAGAAATGAATCTTTTCTTTATCTTATGCAATTACTCTAGTCAAAATGTAAGAAAGAGCAAGAGAATCTTGAAGGATGAAAGTCATGGAAAATGAAATAGAGAAAAAATATATGAGCATAGATCTTCAAAAAAAAAAAAATCAAGAAAAATTATATATATACATATACAAATATACGTTAAGGAGCAGGTCTAGTCAGCCACTTTCTTTTTTCAAATTTCATGTATCCAAAGAAAAGGATTCGAAAAGTACCTCGATCCTGTCCCAGCACAAAATATTCTCAATTTCAACCCTCGAATTCTGATGTCCATTCCAACCCTTGCTGCAACAAGATATCAACGGATAGAAACGTGCGACGAAAAATATATATATATATATAAATATATATATATATATATATATAGTATATATATAGTATATATATAGTATATATATATATATATACTTATATATACTGTCTTTAATATATATACTTATATATATATATATATATATATATATATATATATATACTTGATTACTTTGTGCGTAAATGGAGTCATGAAAATAAAATTAGAGAAGCGAGTCCGAATGATTTGCATATAGCCGAGCTATTACAAGCTGCACAGTACGAAGCACATAGTAAAAGATTTATACCTATATCGAAAATTCATGGCAGCCTTTTCCTATTTTCTGGGTTTTCTTGCAAACGGACGCATCTTGTTGTGAAAAATTGCAGTTAGAAAAAATTTAGAAAAAAAAAATGAAAAAAATGCATATATATATAGATATATCTGTTAGACCACGTCGAGGAAACCTTCACTGTGAGAAAATAGAGGCTGAAGGTGACAAAGAACCCCATAGGAAAAAGTAAAAGAAAGGGTGTCAAGAGAGAAAAAAAAGAAATGTAAAAAAAAAGGAAAGAGAATGCAAAGAAAAAAAAAAGGAAAGCCTATATCAGTATTATCGCAGTAATACTTTTTGTGGGATGGTGTATTTTGAAATTTCCTCTAACTTTATCAAAATCCTCACCTGTCCGCCGTCCCGAAGGTAGTTTTGTCAAAGGAGAGTAAATTTCTGTCTTTAATATTAATTTTTAATCGATGGTTTATTAATTTTTTCTACTTATCATTGATTAGAAAAAGAAATTCTTGCAAGCGACGCCCGTCCGCGTCATCCCTCCTACTAATGTCTAAATACGATTAGATAGCGAGCTATATTTTTCTCTGAATGTTAAAACGTGTAGTTAATATATAACTAGAGATACAATATATTATAAAAATATATAAACTGACTGTATCAACCACGGCCGTGCTTTAATAATTTTTGGCACAACCTGTACAGCACCAGAATTATAAATAGTATAAAGCACCGAATCCTCTACTGATAATTATTATCACAATGAATATCACAGAAACGTAGTACTTACTACTATTATCACTGTTATCACTGTCAGTACTATTTCTATTAATAGTTCTTTCCTATTCTATCCGTCTATTACCTAAACAAGTATCGCTATACCCTTTTATTAGACTACTATTAAGATCGAGGTACCAGAAGCATTTTTCAATGGTAAAAGAAAAATAAGAATAAAAAATCTAATATTTACAATAAATCCATCAGCGACGATTTTTCTCCTGGTTTTTATAATTGTAAAAAAAATTTTTTTATTTTATGTAAAAACGTATTTTTTATTTATCCACCGATCGATGCTTCCTGATTTCTCGATCTTAAGATCATCCAGGCTGGAAGAGGAACAATAATTCATTTATTCGCTATAGTCATCTAATCCTACTTCTTGGTAATCTAATTCTAATCGTCTGTTGCGTCAGCGACTGGCATCTTTAAACATAGGAGCACGTCGGTTACTTGACACAGTGGACTCTTGTTAAGTGAGCTTTTTTCTAGGGTGTAAAGGCCGTTCTTAGAGAACGATCACTTAACGAGAGGACACTCTTGAAAAAGTTCTTTATCATAATTCATTGTTCTTGCTTGAAAACACGGAGTCTTTCTACTCTTATGCAACAATTCCCTATAGTCTGTTCACAAGTAAATTAACTTCTGGAGGGGCCAGCTATGACTTCAAAGGCAAATGAGTCTCCTAGTCAGGATCTTTTTACTCGTGGAACGACTTTAGCTGCTAATAGGGCTAATTCAAATGCGCCAGAGTTGCGACCTTAGAAGTGTCCACTTATCGAGCATTCACTTAACGGGAGTCCTACTATATCGTTTTTGAGATTCGAAATGAGCACTGAATATTTTACGGTAACAGATTTGGAAAATAATATTTAAAAAAATATATTTATTATGGAGTGCCCGGAATAAGGTATAACACCTAAGGATATGGTAGATTCGAAGTAACTCGAGAGATACGAGGCTTGCTTCTTTCGAATTTGAAAAAAAAAATTCGAGGGTAGTACTTTCGAGCGATTCTGATGGTCATGGGACGATGTATTAATTTTTTTTGTTATCCGGATAAAATGAAATCTTGAATTGCACCGAGTAAAGAGAGATAAAAAATAATTAAATTAATAATTCCATTGATGATTATCAAAGCACGGCTTGTGAAAAGGGTAAACCTGAATCTGTTTAAAGAACTAAAGTATTAAAGAACAGAAAAACACGTACAAAAGTTATGCGCAACTATTACCTGCAAACGCTTAACTTATTATGTGTACTCGAAGGATTTATTATTGTAAGAATCTTTTGTCCGACGGATTTCCTAACGAAGGATACGACGAAAAAGAAAAGAACGTTGAAAATAAATGATCTGTGAACAAGAATTACGAATAGAAGAAAAAATACAGTACAAAATATCTTTATCCTATACAACTGTATGATAGCTTTTACTCCATCTCTTTGTTTGTCTTTATCCCAATTTTGAATCATGATGCTATACAATATTGTATGCATCAAAAAATGTTTGTATTCGGTACAAAATTTGTTTTTGTTCTTTGGGCAGGATCGATTAAAAAATAAAACAAAAAATAGAAAATTTATGATCATGGAACACTCGCGAAGCTCTTGCTTAAAAAATAGAAATTTAGTATTTTTTCTTTTTTAAGTAAAATATTAAAAGTCGTCAAAAAATAAAGTTTGTCTATCCAATAAATACGTAAGAACGGCCAGTATGGGTCCCTGCTGGGTCCACTGCACTTACCAATGGGCCAGTAATGGTTGAGTATTAAGCAGTTCTTATGGGTTTTGCTGGGTAGGAACGAGAAGCTCGAAGAAAAATTTATAAATTCGAGAACGAAAAACTGCGGTGTGATGAAAAATAGTAAGAGGTAACAAGTAAACAAGCGAGTAGAAGAATTATTTGGTGACGAAATATGCAGAAAAGATAAATGTAGAAGAGGAAAAACTAAAAATTCACTGTTTGAACGTATGTAAATATATGTAGAAGACGGCGAAATATAGGTACATTATAAATAAATATACAGTACATGTGGTTAAAGATTATTACATCAATGTACCATGTAGATACAATATATGCTTACGTCATCCTGCAGGTAGTCAAATACATATCAATAAAGGCAATTCATTTCGTTAAATGATCCCATGAAAATTTAAGGTATAATAAACTTTTTTGATACTTTAGTTGGACGCTATTCAGTAACGTTGGTAGATAACACAACATTTTATATACATGAAAATTATGTGTTGGATCACATACCTCGACGTTGTCAGTTAAAAGAGCGAACTCAATTTCGTGTGATATACTTGATGTCACCTTTTAAAAGTTAACAACAACTTTAATGGGGCTGCTAACAATAAGTTAGTAAGTTCGAATACACTTCTTGTGGGATTCTTACGCCAAATACTTCTTTTACCGTTACTGACGTTATCAGTGTTCTGTTTTATCAATCCAAAAGTAGTTTATTCTCTGTTGAGTTGGTGCTGCCATCTTATAACAGTGCCTAAAATCTCTGACATGATTCCATTACAGATCAGTAAGGAGATGCACAACGCTACGGTTAGGCGATACCAAAATCATGGAGCTAAATCGTAGCGGGGAGTCTGGAAGTAGAATTTTGTGATCGTCGCCACCGTCGATAATGTGAATTCCCGTCGTAGCCGAGCTAAACGTGAACATGAACACGTGCTTGGCGGGCAGAGGTTCTCCGCTACTCACCGCTGATTCCCAAAGTAACGCTTAGAATGAGACCGGGAACTATACAACTTCTCAAGAACTATTGAAAAAGTCTATTGTTGAAACATTTTTAAGACATTTTTAAGAAAGTGCAGTGCCAACTTGACACCCGTGTAAAACCTTTACTAATTACTATTGGATCTTGATTTACTATCAAAATTTATTCAAAAAATAAAATTGAGACTAAATTAAAATCTCGCAGAATATACGGAGTAGATAAAAATAAACCTTTACTAATTACTATTGGATCTTGATTTACTATCAAAATTTATTCAAAAAATAAAATTGAGACTAAATTAAAATCTCGCAGAATATACGGAGTAGATAAAAATTGAATTGA